GCTCCCTTGATGTTGACATTACACCAGTGTTTATTTTAAGTGTCATTGTTAAAAAAAATGGAATGCAACTTTTATTTTTCACAGATATATTTGGTTCTGACAAGACACGTCCTTGTTTTTCTCTGGTATCATCGAGTTGGACAGGAGCTGGTGACTGCTTTCAGCTGTGAGGTATTAAGAAAGGTGAGAGACAGAGCGAGCGAGCAGACCAGGGCTAAGTGCATGGTCATGCAGAGGTCTCAGCATGCAAGCAAAGGAGTTGCTGCCATCAGAGACCAATTGCTGTCATGTTTTCATGTGGTGTTGATGTTTGGATAGGGAAAATGCAAATGGAGTGTGATTTTTGGATGACCAAGCTCCTATATTTTAATTTGCGAGTAGTGTCAATTTGGCTAATTAGCATATTTCTGCCTTGGCAGAATAGCGGTTTGGGAAGTAGATTAGGTCGTTTTTCTTTTCATAGCACAATTTCTTGTCTCCGTGCAGTTGAACATGCATCTCATTACTTAAGGCTGTTAAGGCACTGGTTATTTCTACTCGGTGTAAACAATTGGTTTATTTGTTGCTATTTACATTTGGCACAAACATTACCATGAACACTAAGTGCAAGTACAAATAGATGCTATTCACACAAAATAAAATGATCTATGTCGGAGGTGGATGGAGTTAATGAAAACAGCATCCACCAACAATGTTGGCTATTTGCACTTAGCAAAAAAAGACACTGATCTGCAGTGTGTGAATCCTCAAATTATCTACAATATTTGCCAAAATTACCAGAGCTTTACTGTGTGGAATATTGTAAAATAGGATTAAAAAATGCAATAGAAATACAGCTCCTCTTTATCTTAATGGAAACTAAAATCTCCAAACCTGTTTGTCATGACCACACTTTAATAACATATCAAAAGCAATCTAAATATCATATTTTTCTAAGTAAAAATCCACATAGCCAAACTCTTCATTTGCCTCTTAGCCTGTCACTGTTTCCTGCACAATTGAACCACAATATGACAAGTCGTTCGTGCAAATTTCCTATGCGCCTTATTTATTCTGTGGACACACAGAGAGAAATGGATGTGGAGTAAATAGGAAGCAGGACACTGTGAGAGGGTTCCCTCCTGACTCACACCAAATCGCAGAGGGGTCTAATTAAAGCCATGTTCCTTTGGGTGAGGCCTGAGTTCCATGGATGCATCTACAAATGCTACAAATATGAAAAACTTTCTTGGCTGCCGAAGGGCATTACTGAGTATTGGCTTGTTTGTCTGCCGTTCAGAGATGAAAAGTAGTGAAAACAAACAAGAGAGAGTGGAAGTCTAAAGCTGTCACGACCATGAAGAATTTCTGGTGGCAGATTCATGACAGATACCTACTTCTGTTTTATCCGTCTGATGAACATCCAACCAAACAACAATACATATTGTCCATCTGTCTATCAAGGAATAGCTATTCGATCGTGAAAAGACCAGGTGGAAATGCCCTCCAAAATTCTTTCAAGAAGGATTTAAATCCGATTAGTTAAACCACTCCAGGAGGTGGTTTAAGTCTCACAATCCAGAAACTGGACCAGTGTAAATGCATCTGGTTGTTGAAGCCACATATGTAAATTTTACCCATCCCCCCAAAAAATAAGACGACATGCAATGAACCTGAGAGTTCAGTCTCACAGACTCAACACACAGTCATCTTCATTCAAAGTAATTGCAGCTTATCTGTTGCTTTCGTTGATGTGAACACCATTGAATTTACATGGGCGCTCTAACAAGGAGGCTAAAGTATAGTACCATAGTATCTAGTGTCAGTCGCTGGAGCGCCTATCTATCTATCTATAGAGAAAAAAGGGTAAATGAAATGTTTTCTGGGAAAAGCAACTTTAAAGCAAGCTTCCAAGGTTAGCAAAAAAAGCATAGCACTGTGGTATGAAGGGAAGGAGACCAGAAGCCCTTTTTTAAGGGATTTCAATGGAGGAGATGCTTCACTACACTGAATAAACTGCTTTGAGGGAAACCAGCTTGTCATTTACTGAATCGACACCCTGTCGGCTAATCTTCATGTTTGCCCTTAAACGTTCGTTTTGGAGTCCCTGACAAATTTACGACAGGTAGGATTTAATTTATGGGAATTCTTACTCTTTTCTATGGTATTCATAGAAAAAAGTCAATGACATCGAGGCTGCAATGTGATTGGTTATCAACGCACAAGCAATCCAAGTTTTTAGAATGGTAGATCCACAAACCCTAGGACCTTCTATAATAATCCGTTCTGCCTGTCTGTCTGTCCCAAACCAGTTCAGTGCAAATTCAGCCACTTTCATTGAGTAATGTTAGAGTAAGGGGTAGTGTTAGGGTTTATTATTTTATTGTAGCATTGCATAGGCAATCAGTACTCAATTAAATCTTTAGAATTGGCTGAGGGGTGGAGAACTTGTGAAAAAATGTCAGTCTATTGAGAAAAAGGTATGCAGGTTATGCATTCTAATAAATGAAGTGTTTTATGTATCTGTCTAACTATCTATTGAGAAATAGGTATGCAGGTAATGAAATGCATTCTGGGAAAGGAAGTCTTCTGACTGTCTATACAGTATCTATAACTACAGTGAGACCACCTAGAGAACTTGAGAATGCCATTAATGTCCAGGAGAGGTTGGCAGGGATTGACTGAGTCTGATGGTGATGGGATGTGAGAGACTCAGAGCACTCTAAGCAGAACAGAACAGCTGTGAAAACAGACCAGTCTCACAATACAGACCAGAGCCTTGGACTGCACACTACCCGTGTGGTCCAGCCTAACCAAGGATGACATCAAGGTGATCTGCAGCAGGATCCTGACATCTACACATCTTCTGCCACAACAAACAACTGCTGATTCCCAGAATCCCCAAAATAGTATAATTGACTTTCTATAAATGATCAGTTTAGCACGTAAATGCGCAAAACAATCTTCTTCTTTTTAAAAAAATAATTGTTAAGAATGAACTCCAATAATCGTATCTGTATGTGCAAAGTGGACTTATATTCTATTTCCCAACGGGTAAAGGAGTCCCTTCCAAAAATAAACATCCGAGCAGAAGATAGAGATTTTGAGAATGCTGTGCCTCAACCACAAAGCGTTCACGCTATGTTCGCAAAAGGCACAGACTAATTCATCTTCGGCTAATTAAACAAGCTTCTATTAACGGCTAATTTTCTGCCATGGAAAGTCACCTTTTGATCCTGGGATCTAAAATAAGCCTGCTGACAACAAGAGGAGAAAACAGGGTTCAGGCCAATACAAATGAATTTCCAGCTGCCAAAACAGATCAAGCATGGGATCCTGGCACTCTCCCTGCCACTTAATGCCACGTGCCAAATTTTTAATCACACAAGACATGCATGTGCCATGCACCTGATAGATGAAATCGATACAGACTTTCCTCTAGCGAGAGTGTTTTCCTCTTCTAGTCACATACATGTGTATGCTAGGAGATCAATTGGCACACAAAAACAATCAAACATGACAAGTAAACCTACATCTCATTCCATATGATGTACTTTTATCTTCCGGCATCAGCTCTCAGCCTTCTTAATGTGGTTACAGCCACGTAATTAGAGTTACTAATTCCCAGTAGGATATTTTAAACACTTTCCATGGCTGCACATCTCACTGCACTTTAGCAAAGAAAACACTGCATGGAACAATCACTTTATCTACTCAACAAATTACAGATAGAGTAGAATATTACCTTTACGAACACGTAAAAAACAACATTGTCATGAATAAATCAGCATAATTGCGAATGCGCATATCAGCTTACTAGTTCTAGTTAATCTTCTTTATATATATAATTTAAGTGAATCTGTTTGTTTGGATGGTTTATGTAAATACATTGGTTAAAACAATTAATTCACCAATGAATCAGTTGGATAAACTGAGGCCTGACAGTGCTATCACAGACACAGGAATCGTTTCAGTTTTGCAGATCAATCCAGCAGTTTGATGGAAAAATGACATCGTGATGGGTCACGGATGAGTCACCAGTGTTGGTTTGTTGAGTCTGTATGAATGCAAGACATCTGATGAATGGGATATTATTGTACTCCTACTGTTCTTTAAAGTAGCACAGTAGTATGCACACAAAATAGGCTGTGGAACAACTACTGTATTGAAGAACAATCACATCAGTGGTTCTTCTCCCACAGCAAACCAAACATGCAACGACAGAGAATATTAAAAAGATGCATTAGTTCTCTTCCACTGACATTATAAGCCTGTGAAATAAACAGGATATTTTCACCAATGGCGGGTGAATTGAGAATATTTCCTACTGGCTACAAAACTATTTTGCATCATTTTTATTGAAAAATATTTAGTCTTTATGCCAATGGAAAAGTTTAACAGTTTTTTCCTTGCATTTTTGTGGCAAACAGGGCAGGTAATTGTGTCACGTCGCAGCATTATATATAAGCCAGTCTCGTGTGAAACAAAACCTCTCGTAAAAACATTTATACACGTTTTGGTGGCTTAACGCAAGTAATACATCACATATGTTTTGCAACATGGAATTCTAGACGAGAAAAGAAACACTTTATGCATCCTAGATAAACCTCTAATGGTAAAGACATTTTGTCTATTTTTACACCAAAGAAAACGGTTCCAAACAATCCCAAAAATGGATCACTCATTGCCAAGCAAAACACAGAGTCGGGGTACCAGGACTTATGAATTGACTCAGACGCACTCGGGTAGACTTTTTCTCAAACTTGACAAGGACTCTGACATTTTGGACTTTGACAAAATTAAGATAAGACACGTCTCGCACTAAAACTCAATTGGTTAAGGACTTGGACACAAACATGAAGTCAGCACAAGGCCCACGAGGTGTCATCGGCAGCGTGTGAGAATCAGTTAAACATTGCTACGCCTTCGCCTGCACATCTTTACTCATTAACACGCAGCATGAAAGAGAACACATGGCAACAACACGTCTCTCTCACACACGATCGTCTGCTCATGGGAGGGGGAAAAAGAAAATTGCATGGCCTGAGAGCCAGACACGCAAGCTGATATATCACGTTTGTGTGTTTTCAGGAATGGCTGCTGCATTTCATTTTTCATCATTTCCCTGCCCGCTCCGTGGCCCCCCGACTCTCAGGGCCGCCCACAAACTGAGGACTTCATACCAGACAAGTGCATCAGCTCGCGTCGGAAAGAATGAACACATCGCTCTCTAATGTGTTTCAAATGAGCGCAGGTATTTTGGAGAGAGTTGGCTTCGTGAAGTACAAGCACCGCGTGGTCCTGAGGAATTGTTTGGGCGTGCGGTGTCATTATCATGAGACGTATGTACAACAATTTACTAGCATATACAAATTACAAAAGCAAAGATAAATGAACACAGAAAAGAAGACAAACACTTTGTAATCTTAATGAAGCTTGTGGCAAATGTGAAAGCCTGTGGTCAAAGCAGCTGTTTCCCACTGAAGAACATTATAAACCATTGCTTAGACGAATGAGGTCTATAATGAAGTCAATACTGAAGTCATGAAACTGTTTTACAGTGTGCATATTTCAAGGTTTTGATTGATGCGTCAATGTGCTAAACATGTGTTAATTCAAAACATTTAAAAAACTGGTCTACAAATCCTTTTGGACTCAACAGTAGATGCAACCCAATCCGCACGGTGATGTTTGAAGTGAGCTGACCTGTGTGGACTCTGGATGGGACCCGCTGAGATGACAGAGGAGAGAGACATCAGGGCCACTTGCTCCCCCTCACAACATCTCCTTTAATTATTTTTATAATGCAAGTGAAGAAGTGAATGGAAACTATGTGCAGCCTCCTGTGGTGGTGGAGAGGGTTGTTTCTTTCCCCTTCTTTTTCCCCTTCTTTTTCTGTGGTACTACTGGAGGGGTTTGATCTATAAACACATCCGAGCTTTCTATTTCTCTCCCTCTCTTTTTTTTGGGGGGGAGGGTGGTATGACTGTGAGGTCTAGGCATTGAGACATTATAAATACATTTCTGTGTCCATATACCTGTCCACATATTTCAGACATTCAGTGGTTTCCGTATTGTTTTATATTTTGCAATATATACTGTATGTATATAATTATCGGTCTAAACCAGATGTAAGCAACGTCGGTCCTAGAGATTTCCACTGTCCAGCAGTTGAGATCCAACCCTGAAAAAACTCACCTGCCTGTAGCCTTAGTGGCTGTTTACATGACACCGTTTTCAACTAAAAACTTTTTGTGAGTTTTGGCCAGTCGTTTTCACGACAACTGCGTTTTGGATGCCTGAAAATGAAAAGTTTTGAAAATGGGTCACAAAGTGCAAGTTTTTGAAAACGGTCTCTGTGTAAACAACAAAAACACGAATCTCTGAAGACGATGATGTCATGCACATCATCGCATGCGTACACATGCGAATGCGTATTACGTGTTTACTCGATCGTGTTCCATCACCATCTATTGGCCTGGCAGCAGAAAACAGCGTTTTTATTTGTTTTCGCAGATCCGTGTGAATGGGAATCGTTTTGACAATGGTGTCGCCTGTTCGCGGAAAACTCAAAGGAAAAAGATCTCAGTTTTAAGGATATCGTACCCTCAGGCTCCGTCCACACTACTGCATTTTCGTTTAAAAACGGAGACCTTTTCCTAAGTTTGCACCTCCCGTCCAACCTAAAACGGAAAAACGAAGACCTAAAACGGAGAAGTTTAGAAACGCTGCAGCTTCGTTTTGCGTTTTGAATCTCCGGAGGGCGTTTTAGTGAAGACGGGACAAAACGGAGGACTTAAGAAACGATGACGCAGAGGCTCACGCGTTTGGCTCTATGATTGGGTGTCATGTGATCGTCAGCAACCCATCACATGACCCGTTTCCTGTTTACACCGGCACGAGCATGCCCAGTGTTGGTGAATGGTCACGTGATCCACATTTTCAGTTGTTTTAATGTGGACGGAGATCAATTCTAAAACACAGATAAGATGCTGGTGTGGACGGAGATCGTATTCGTTTTAAGTCTCCGTTTTTAAACGAAAACGCAGTAGTGTGGACGGGGCCTCAGTAAACGTACCCTCAGTAATCCTGAAGACATTGATTAGCTTGTTCAGGTGTGTTTGATTAGGGCTGGAGCTAAACTCGGCTGGACATTGGCTCTCTAGGACCGACGTTGCCTCTGGTCCAAACAGACAGACAGACATTTTCTAGAATGCATTACCTGTGCTGAATGTCTCTTCAACTTCCTTGTAATTCAAACTTCTAGAGGGTTGAGGCCAAAATTAGCACAAAGTCTTTTCCCATCCTAAAAAAAACAAAAGCACACAAACATTTTTAGATAGGCTAATTACATTTTCCCTTACCATTTCTAAAGTCAGATTCAGACTTGGTTTGATTGCCTGGTCTGAATAGAAGTTTAATTTCACTCCCGCCCTCTGTTGGTCTCTTATTCACATTTTATTAATGATTCTGAAACCTTTACATTTTGCATCATCAACACCAACTGCAGCCTACACATACCAACTGCAGCCGTTAGATTTATTCATGTTTTTGTCTTGTATTTTGTCTGCTGCTCCATTCCACAGCATCACTAAATTTGCATTGTACAGTCTTTTTTATTATTCTTTTAGCTATGTGCCCTGTGATTCACCTTATTTGTCTGTGCTGTCCTTAATGTTCTCATTAGCATCCATATCTTGGTTCTATCTCTCGCTCCCTCCCTCCTCCTCCTCATCGTCCATCCTCACTTTTTCCCCGGTCAGCATGTCATTATGCTTACCCACCAGAATGTGGAATCACTCCACTTCATGCAAGCAGAAAAACCACAAGTTGTTCTAGCTGGAGCATGCCCAAACACTGCCAGTCCTGACAGTGGCTTCAGCTTGCACTTCCCCTGACTTCGTTCTCCTCTAGGAAATTAGAGAGGAGGGTAAAACGGCTCACGAGTGCTCTGTCTGCTACCTCTCACAGTATGTTGGCACTCAACCATGAGGTTTTGCACTTCATTCTAAAGGATTCAGGAAGCTAACGCCATGAATGAAAGGCTCAGAAAGATTATGCACTGTCAGAGCGGTGGTCAGGGGCCAGATGCTCTCTGTAATGGTGCTGGTCAGGTAAAACTCTACAACGGTTGCTGCTGTGGAGTGCCAACAGAGTGATATCATCCTTCCTCTACCTGAGAGAACTGGCAGTGATGGTTGAACGCTTTTACTGGATGTGGATGCATGAGGGTCGCAGTCAGGTTCGTGTTCCAGTACGATCTGACCACACGGGTCTGTGCTCCCTCACAGGCCATAAAAACCATGTCCAGACGCCTCGTGTATTTGCCAACAGATTAAATCGGCGAGGAGATGATTTCCAATATCAGCTCTTAGTGGGAGAGCCACAAAACGAGAGAAGCATTAAAGGTCACAATGACCAGTGCTAAGCGTCATCCGCCAGTTCTGCAACACCTGCAGACATGGTTTAAAAAACCTCTCGGATTGGAATGAACCATCTTCACGTTGTGTGAGCTAGAAATGTGCTGCCCCAGCATCACCAGAGCCGGTCAAAGTGCCAGGCCAAAATTTCCCATTACGCTAACAAGAAATATTTTCATTATTCTTTTTGGTTTGTACATTTTTTATTTGTCTGGTAACAGCACATGTCAAGTATTCATTGCTTAGCTCTTTGCAAGCCAAAAAATGCACAACAGTGAAACGAGAAGAAAAAAGAACGAGAATATTGGGAATATTAATTTCCCAAAGTATGTGGATATAATAAATATCAGGCATCAATGGGTCATTAAAATATTTTACCAAGGCAAAAAGTCATACGATGCTGTAGAAAGTCACAGACAGCAACTAAGAAAAACAAAAGTGTAAAAATTGTTCCTTCAGCATGTCATTGGGAGACCATTTTTACTTTCACTAATACGTATCCTTTAGTGGTGGACAGTTTAAAAGTGTTCGTTTGAGGGTACTGCCCAAGTGACAAGCTGCTTTACCACTAAAAGCGTTTTTGAACGTTTATTTTCTGACAAAAAAACATACCATATCCATTAATCTAAACTAATTAGACATATGGAGGTTAGAAAAAAATGCGGGTGCCAAACGGTAAGGAACCGATAATGCTGCCTTGTTTCTTAGTATTTGCCAACCATTTGGTAACAAGAAACATGACCTAACAAGCTGTTTCTAATGAGAGCTATTTCTGCCCCTTGCCCATAGTGCTCTCCTGCTCAGCTCTAGCGGGTAAGATTTACTGTTTGGTTTGGAGTTCAAAGCTATTGCAGTAAATTTTTCATTTACAAAAGAGGACAGGAGAATTGAACAGTACCCTTGTTATTATCCATGCCGTTGCGTTTTTTCTTCTTTTTTCCTCTTTTTGCAAGGGATTAATAAGACAAGCATTGGAACACCCTCAAAGCCAAAACTTGACTGCCCAAGACCTGCTTAACTCACTAAATCAAAGTAAATTATCTTTAAAAAGGTAAAGCTATAGAAGAGTGCTTGGACATCAGCCACACAGTTTAGCCTTCGCTACCCAGGACCCCAGGGGGGCTTAATGGGTTCAAAGAGGCCAGCGAGGTTGGAGAACAAATGACTGACACCAAAAAAGACAAATTATGAGAGAGGGCAAAGAAGGTCATACCTCCATCCCAGCTTAAAGTGCAGCCAGCCAATCATCAACCAACATTGCCAGCATCACACTCAGTGAGTGTGCAGGGGTGAGAAAGTCTACAAAGCTACAAAGTCATTGTTCAACCTCAAATGACCCATTGGAGATTGAGATCTCTTCTTTACTAAGAAGAAAAAAAAATCTGTCATCGTTTAAACACCCTTGTGTCATTCCAAACCTGTAAGAATATCTTTCTTCTGTGGAATGCAAAAGAAGATTTCATATTTAATACATTCAAGTTTATTTTACCTTACCTAGTATATGGACTATAGTGGCTGGGATTGGGAAATTGTCATTGATCGACCCTTAATTATCTTTCGTTGCCAGGGTTGTGTGCTAAGAGAAAAGAGGGACATGCAACGTCCATCATAATTATGAAATTTAAAAGTCACCCAAAACCATGAAACAAGAATCAGCCCTCACACACATAGATTTGTGCTATCTGAACTAAATATTGCGCAAGCACCGACCGCCTGATAATTAAAAAGATATTACATGTACGAGAAAGTGAACAGTGTGGGAAAATATCATGGAAAATATTAGCAGGATGGAAAATGTTACAGGTATTTGGATTCCATGAGATACTGTAATAATATAAAGCACTTTGCCTTCGAGATGACAAAACTTCCAGCAAAACATTAGATCTCTTCAAATCCCACCTACTCACACATCACACATACACACTTCCCTAATGAGTTGGTTTGGCTGCAGTTGTATTCGGGCAAATTCGTGTATTATGACATAACCCAAAGACCTCCGACAGACCTGAACTCTGAAGCTATCTGATTTACAAAGCCCTCAGAGGACTTGCTGAGACAAATACACTGTTTATTTCCTGAATTTCACTTTCTCTTTGTCTCTCATTCTCTCTGGACATCTAATTGTTTAAGGGTATCAAATTCAAGTTTAGATAGAGGAAAGACCAACCTCAGCTGTGTGTAGACAGGACAAAGAGTGACAAAGTGTAAAAAAAATGTGGGAGATATAAATAAATTGTGTGTTTGAGAGACTGAGAAAGCAATGGAGAAAAGCATGTGAGTGGAGGAATAATTACCTGCAGATGTTGGTCTTTGTTGGGGGTATAAATCTCTAACCACATCAGAAATTATCCATAAAATTTACAGCTTAGGAAAACCATGTGTGTGGCTATTTAGCACCCTAAATCTACAAAGCCTTCTCTAGCATTCTCCCAAAACAGGACAGCGAGACGAGGGGGGGCAATGTAATGGAAGGAAACAAAACCAGCCCTCCCTTCTTAATTGTTTTTATGTAGCCAATGCAACCCGCCCCCTTGCTGACATGTGAATGGAATAAATCACCCAAAACAGCGAAATATACTAATAATGTTAAATCTATCCTGCTTCAAATTAAAAAAGTTCCTTTATAGGGGGGTAAAAAAATGAG